ATTTCATTCTCTTCTGTGTTGGAGGAGAGGAAAGGTATAGCAGACATCTGGGCCAAGCCCTGAAGAATTCTCATTACTGCCTCTGTACAATGTACTTCTGTGTATCTAAAGAGTGAGGCTAAGATTCAGGAAACCATGAAGAAGCAAACATCTTGATGCCCCAGAATCTTCAGTTCCTGGTATTTTGGGTCCCTCTCTTCTTTCAAGACACAGTTCAAGCACTGCCTCTCCTTTTTAGAAAATTCAGTGTTATTTTATTTTCAGTTCCAAATTCTCTTTCTCCTACCTTACCCTCCCCCCTCCATGGAGAAAGCAAGTAAAATAAAACCTGTTACAAATATGTATAGTCAAACAAGACAATTTCCCACATTAGCCATGTCCAAAAAAGAAAGAAAAAATATGTTCCAGCTTGCACTCTGAATCCATCAGCTTTCTATCTGGAGGTGGGCAGCATATTTCCTCATGAGTTCTCTGGAATTGTGGCTGGTTGTTGTGTGGGTCAGAGTTTTGAAGCTTTTCCTGATCACCTCATATGCTAGTATCCTCTCCCCCAAACTATCTTTTACTTAACTGCTTTGTATTTATTTTCTTTTTATTTATTCTCTGTATACTTGTATATAGCCTTCTTTCCTTAAACTAGAATGTTAGCTCTTAAGAGTAGGAATTGTTTTTTTTTTTTTTCATATTTGCATTCCCCCAATTTAAATTCGAACACACCACTGAATACATTTCCAAGAAAGGTACTTAGATTAATTTTGGATAAAAATCGATCAACAAGCATTTGTTAAACACTTGCTGTGTGCCAGGCACTGTGCTTAGTGCTGGAGATACAAAGAGAAGCCAAAAAAAAAAGTCCCTACCCTCAAGAAGGTGTTTATAATCTAATGGGCAAGACAGAATACAAACCACTATGTGCAATCTATTTATCTATCTATCTATCTATCTATCTATCTATCTATCTATCTATCTATCTATATCTATGTATGATAAATTAGAGATAATCTCAGAGGAAAAGCACTAGCAGTGGAGGGGACTAGGAAAGCCTTTTTTGTACAAGGTTGAATTTTAGGTGAGACATGAAGGGAGCCAGTGGGTAGAGACAAGCAAGGGGTCTCCAGGCATGAGAGACAGCTAGTGAGAAACCACAGAGCTCTCAGGAGATGAAGTATTGCTATATGAGGAACAGCAAGGAAGTCAGTGTTACTGGATTGGAGAGTACATGGAGAGTACTCCCTTCAGGCAGGGAGACTAACTAGAAAGCTATTGCAGTGGTCCAGGGAGAGATGATGAGGGCTTGCATCAGGGTGCTGGCAGTATCAGAGAAGAGAAGGGGATATATGTGAGTGATATTGGAAAGGTAGATTGAATAGGACTTGGAAATAAATTGGATTTGGGAGATGAGAGTGAGGATGACACCTAAGTTTGTGAACCTAGGTGACTAGGAGGAAGGTGATAGCCTTAGCAGTAGTAGGGAAGTTAGCAAGAAGGGAATGTTTTTGGGCAAAGACAATGAAATGAGTTCAGTTTTGGAAATGTTGAGTTTAAGATGTCAATGGGATGTTCAGTTTGAGATGTTCAATAGATAGTTGGAAGTGTGAGACTGGAAGTTAGCAGAGAGGTTAGGGCTGGATAAGTAGATTTGAGAATCATTGGGATATAGATGATATTTGAATCTTTGGGGGCTGATAAGATCACCACGTGAAATAGTGTTAAGAGGAGAAGAGTGCCAAGAACAGAGCCCTGGAGGGAACTCACGGTTGACAGGTGTGAGCTGGAGGAAGATCCAGCCAAGAAAGAAGACTGAGGAGTGGTCAGATAGGTAGCAAGAAAACCAGGATAGATTAGTGTCACTAAAACCTAGGGAGGCACACTTAATGCACCAATCATGGAAAATTAAGACGGCTTTGAAAGTTACATGTCTTTATTATATACTTAAAAACAAAATCAAACTGTGTGTAATAGAGGTCTGCATTTTTATACGCTCTTTTTCTGTTCTAATATATGTGTATGTGCATATGTACATACACATAGATATGTATGAAAACGCCTGTTTGGTATTTATTAATTTCAGAATATCAAAATCATAAACTTAGGCGATGTGAAAACAAAAAAAATCAATAAAAATCTATTTCATTTTCTAAAAGGAGATTAAGGAAAAGAAAAGGGAACTTTGGAGTGAGTGCTAGAGCCCCACCTGTGCCCTGGAGTCATCCTGGACTCCTCACTGTCTCTTCCCCCCACCCCATACGAAGCTGTTGCCAAAGCCTGTCAATCTCACCTTTGCAGCATCTCTCGAATGTGTCCCTTCTCTCCTCTGACACTGCTACCTCTGGTGCAGGCTCTCATCACCTCACGCTTGGACTATTGCAATAACTGCTTGTGGGTGGGTCTGCCTGCCTCAAGTCTCTCCCCATTCCACTCTAGTCCTTTTTAGGTTTTCCTGAAGTGCAGGTCTGATTGTGTCATCCCATTATTTGATAAACTCCAGTGGCTCCCTGTCACCTCCAGGAACAAATACAAAATGCTTTGTATGGCATTCAAAGCCATTCATAACTTGGTCCCTTCCAGTCTTCTTAGAACTTACTCTCTGACATGAATTCTTCAGACTAGTGTCACTGGTCTCGTGACTGTTCCATGAACCAGGCATTTTCTCTGGCTGTCTCCGGTACCTGGAGTGCTCACCTTCCTCTAATCTAACTACTGACCTCCCTAGCTTCCTCTGAGTCTTATCCCACTTCCTACAGGAAGCTTTTCTCAATCCCTCTTAATTCCAGTGTCTTCTCTCTATTAATTATTTCCCATTTACCCTATATATAGTTTGTATGTATTTGTTTGCATGCTGTCTCGCCCATTAGATTGTAAGCTTCTTGAGGTCAGGGACTGTCTTTTGCCTCTTTTTTGTATCCGTGGTGAGGGAATTAAAATAGCAAGTGGTGGTGGGAATTGGGTGAACCACACTGACTTCATCTTGTGGCTCAATTCTGGAGCAGCTCTGTTCCCATTTCATCTTTTACCCTCCACACTTGTGCTTAGGACAGTGCCTGACATGTAGTAGGTGCTTCATAAACACTTGTTGATAGATTGATTGAGAAATATTTAACAACCACTTCTCCAGCCCTTTAGAGAAAAAAAATAGAGTATATGCATAACACATTTTAAACTTTCTTCTGTAGCGTTAATATTTGGTTTTAGCAAGCCAGTATGAACTGGATCTAGCCTACCCCTATATAGGACAATAGCTAGTAGAGATGGATGGATGAAATGAGTTTTGGGGGATAGGGGAGGCAAAGGCATGTTTGGAGGTAGCAGAGAAGCAACTAGTAGATGGGGAGAGATTAAAGATAAGTGACAGAGTGGGAACCACATGGGGATATTCTTTTGGAGGAGATGAGATGGAATGCGGTTAGTTGTGCATGTAGAAGAGTGGGCCTTAGCAAAGAGAAGAGCCCCCTTTTCTTCTGAGACAGGAGTAAAGGAGAAGATAGTGGCAGAAGGCATCTGGATGATGTGAGAGGAGGAGGGGAGGAGACGGAGCTCTCAGTGAATGGCTGAGGGGTAAAATATGAGGCAAGATTCTCTGCTCAGAGAGTGGGGAGGAGAACTGTGGGGGGTTTGAGGAGGGAGGAAGAGGTTTGGAATTGCTGCTGTGGAGAGAGAAGTCATTACCCTCCTAATTGGGGAGGGAGAAAAGGATTGCCTTGTGGCAGTGAGGGCCCAGTCAACTTATGTCACATAAATTTATGGTGGATCCATTTAGCGTGGTTTTCTGATCTTCTCCATCTCATTCAGCAGCACATTAGTAGTAGTGAAGGCAGTAGATGATGGGAGCTATCCAACTCTGGTTCAGTCTGCACTCAGAGCTCCTCAGTTTTCTCTCTGGAGGTGGATGGCATTGTTCGTCATGAGTTCTTTGGAATTGTTGTGCATCATTGCATTGATCTGAGTAGCTAAGTCTTTCACGGTTGGTCATCCTTTCAGGATTGCTGTTACCGTGTCATGTTCTGGTTCTGCTCATTTCGCTCTGCATCAGTTCATGTATAAGTCTCCCCAGATTTTGTAAAGTACCTTTTAAACCTTAAAGCACTTTAGAAATGCCAGCTATCATTATTGTTATTATTATTATTATTATTATTTTTGCCTTGTTGCCCTTCTATTAGTACTGATTGGAGAGTTAATTCTCTTTCCACCTTTGATGACAGAAGTAGAAGACAGACTTTGCAAACTAAAGAGGGCAAATAAAAAACGATACATCTGGGTTTTTTGAGTCATCTATTGGTCCTATATTCTGAAGATATATTTGGTCATGATCATATAGGGTCAACTCAGCAAGCACTTATTAAATGCTGACTGTGTGCTGGGCACTGTGTTACGTGCTGGGGATAAACAAATAAAGGCAGAAAATATTCTTGCTTTTAAGGAGCTCAGAGTGTAATGAGAAAACAACATAGAGATCACTCTGTACGTACAAGCCCTGTGCAGTGCAAATTGAAGGCCATCTCAGAGGAAATGCACAGGTTTGGAGGGGGACTAGGAAAGACTTAGAGAAGGTAGGGTTTGAGTTGAGACATGAAGGAAGCCTGGTTTGCCAGCACCTGGAGGAGACAAGGAGGGAGAGCATTCCGTGTGTGTGGGACAGCCCAAGAAAAGGCAGCGTGTGCCAGAGCTGCAAGTAATCATTTAACATTCCCCCTCCCCCCAAGACGTGATCCAGGCAGAAACATACAACTGGTACTGTACAGTAAGATGTAGATAAATTCATGGATCACAGACGCCACTCTTTTCAGGTCTATTGATGGCACCTCCGTTATCCGTTCAAATACAGTAAGTTTCTTGAGGGCAGTGCCTCTTTGTCCATAGGGCACCTTGCACATAGTAGGCATGGCTAGTTGTTGGATTTGTGGGGTTCCTTGGGGCTCTGTGGTCAGGTACTGCCCTTCCTCACCACACCGGGTTTCCTTTCCCTGTGTACCTCACACCTCTTTGATTTCATTTCTTTTCAGGTGGGAGCAACGAGAGCTGCCCAACGGGAGGGTCTATTATGTTGATCACAATACGAAAACGACTACTTGGGAAAGGCCTCTTCCCCCAGGGTAAGTAGGACTCCTAAGACTGATCCAGGGACCCTCTGCCTAGGGGCAGGTGCGGCTGAAGGTATCTCTGTTTTCCAACACACTGCTCTCTAGTCTTCTTGCCTCTTCCCTTTCACTTGTCTCTCCCCTTTTCCTATTTCTACTGCATTGACTTGAGACTTGCAGGTGTCATCTGTGGGCATGGACGAACCTTGCTGTGTAACAAGGGGAGCCTTGGGCTAAAATGGTTGGGGACCTAAGATTTGAGACCATTGGAGAGACCTTGGGCTATAGATGCCCAATTGCAAGTCAGTAGATGTCACTGCATGGAAACTTTTCTATTATTGAGTCACATGTTTCTAGGACATTCTACCTGGTATTACAAAATATTGTAGCACCTCTCTTGGGTTACCTGAATTCTTTCTTGGTTACTTTTCCTATTGGCTCATATGGAATTGCTTTCATTTATCAAGTATGTATGGAGATTTTTAGAGCATCATCATTATAGCTTTCAGAAGAGAGGGTGGGAGGAGGTAAGGGTAGAGAGCGTTCTTGAAAAACTCATAAAAATTAGCTGGAGAGATCAGATGTTACGTCTCTCCTTTAAGAGATCTGCCATTGCAGACTGTACGCCTCTGCAGTCATCTGGGTTCTGGAGGGAGGGAGGGGCATACTGTGCCATAACCAGAGGACATGAGGGGCTTCCAAGGAAAGAGAACTGTCCAAGTCTAAGGAGAAGTGGTTTGGTTCCCTGTTTGCCAGGGACAGAACGTACTTTCCAAATGAGAATCCCCATATTGAGAGCTTTTGAAAGGGAATGTCTCCCACTCACAGAAAAAAGAACCCTTTTCTAATAAAGTAGCCGTGAAGGGCTTATATGTCCATGGGTGGGAAGGCTTTCCTCCTTCCTCTTAAATGTGGTGTGGGAAGGGGGGCCAGCAGCAGGCAGGATACCTGAGAGGCCTCATGCTCGGCTGCCGCCCAGATGCCAGTCAGGCCCTGAGCAAACACGGCCCCACCTTCTCTCCCTATGACTTTCCATTAAGAGTCTCCTCATAGCTTAGGGTTTTCCAGTAGGAGGATTTTTTTCCCCTTTCCCACCCCTTCTGGGAAAAGAGTTTCTGATAACTTCTCATTATTATTTCTTTTTTCTATTTTTCACTTTGAATGGCTTTGGAATTTCATTTTTAGAATGACCCAAGTTAAGCATTATCTCTCAATGGTACATTTTGCAGATGTTCACATTATGTGATCAGGATGTAGTATAGGGCAACCTCACTCCTTCCATGTAAGTCTGAATGGGCGTGGTTTTGTTTTATTCCTTGTCTGGGAAATTCTCTCTGTCTCTGTCCCTTTCTCCCCCTTCACTTCTCTCTTTTTTTCTCTCTCATTTTTCTCTGTCTCTCTCTCTCTCTCTCTCTCTCTCTCTCACACACACACACACACACACACACACACACGTCTAGACATTTTATTCTTTACACACAATTATATCAGAGAGATTTCCTACAAGCTGTTCAGGCTGGTCTTAGTCAGTGCTTGGGTGGTGTGGAAATAGAGATGTTCCATGATGCTGTTTAAGAGCGGAACTTCCTCCTCCTTCTAGCACTGTGGTGAGACGCAGAGACCTGGACGAGGGCTTTCTTACTTCATTATGGTGTTGGTATTTTCATAGGAGACATTCTAGCTTCATGCCCTGATGAGGCCTGATTCTAGCCCCTCTTCCCTCCCTCTGAATAGTTCTTGAATTCTTCTTAAAGGAACATAATTTTGCAGTGACAGCTTCATTCTTCTCGGTACTCCAAGCTCTCTTGCTCCTCATGCAGTGTTATAGTGGGGGAAACTGGGTGGAACAGCTTTGTGCTCTCATCAGCAGTCAGTGGGAAGAGAGCTACCCCGGGGAAGTCAGTGTGCAGCAGTAGGACCATCTTCAGACCACGGTCCTTCTGTCATCCAGCCTTGGCCACCACTTAGTTTATCTCTGAGATAAGACTGAGCCAGTGGCTTCAACCCTGCACATGCCTTCGTCTATGTCATGTGCACATGGAATAACTGTACCTGCACCATTCCGATGTTTCCCCGGTACCTGAGAGTGTTGAGGATGGTGGCCTTGGGTTTTGCAGGCCTGGTCTTTGCCACTTTCTTAGGCAGCAGCCAGTCTTGACTCCTTTGCTTATAGCATTATCTATAAAAGCAAGAAGTCTCCCCCTGTTTTTATATCTTCATAAAATAAAACAATCTGGGTTATTTCTGTCTTCCTTTCCAGGGCTTTTTAAGAAAGCCAACCCTTCCCTCCCCATCTTTCTGGTCCTGGTACTTTTACTTCACAGAGCTGAGGTTCAGAAAAGGAGCTTTGCTTACAATGTGGTAGCAGGGCATGGGTGCTTGGTCTGGAGTCAGAGGTCCTCGTTCTCAAGCCTACTTCTGACACTTTGTGTTTGGGTGACTTGTCTTCATCTGTAAAATGAGAGAGCTGGATTAGATGTTTTTACAAGTACACCCCAGCCCTAATGCTGGGGTCCTAGCCGTCATTTAACCTCTAAGGTGCTCTCTAGTCTGTCAGTTGACAAGCATTTATTAAGTGATTACTGTGTGCCAGGGACCTTGCTGAGTGTTGGACATACGAAGAAATGCAGAGAACAGCCTCTGTCCTCTGGAAGCTACATTCTGATAAGGGAGACAATGTAAATTACCAGGTGCACAAAAGACAGACATAGAACAGATGAAGGTAATCTCAGAGGGGAAGGCGTTAGCAGCAAGGGGGACCAAGAACTGTCTCCACAGAAGGGGTGATTGGAGCTGAGTCTTGAAGGAAACCAGGGGAGCTAAGAGGTGGTGAAGGTGTGGAGGACAGCCAGGGCAAATGCAGCAAGATGGGTGATGGAGCACTGTGTTGGAAGAACCTCCAGTAGGCCATTGCAGCTGGATTGTAGACTGCAAATCTATTACAGTTGGCCTCATTTCCCACTCTCAATTTGATCTCTGTAATTCCTTTTTTGGTCCCCTTTGGTTCCAGACTCTTCTTTAGCCCTCATGGTAGATTCAGAATTAGAGAGAAGCCATTTCTTTCCCCATATACTCCTATTCTTGTAACTGCCTATCTGTATGAGGATCCTTGGTCATTTTGTCCCTTTAAATCATGGATTCCTTTATGGGGGTCATGGATCCCCTTGGTAGTCTAGTGAATGAAGCTTATGGACATCTCAGAATAAGGTTTTTGTACCCACAGGATTACAAAGGAGACCAGAAGTTAGTGAAAATAAAGATGTGGTTTCTCCCCTCTCACCCCAATCCAAGTTCATAGCCTCAGGTTAAGAACTTTGCTTAAAATATAATTTATTCCATGAGGCTCTTGATCTTGTTTTTTCCTTCCTTGGTCTTCTTATTTCATTTCCCAGAATGTTCAGGGACTACACTGGAACAGGATGCCATTTTCAAGGCTTGCGAAAAGGGGGAGCTCTTGTTTGTCCATGTCAGTCAGTCATCATCATCATCATCGTCATTGTCATCAACAACAAATGCTTTTTAGGTACCCACTGTGAGCAGGGTACTATGTTAAACCCTGGGCATACAAACATCTATAAAACATGATCTATGCCCTCCATGTCCTTACTGTCGATTTGGGCAAGCAGGCCATTCACACAGAGAGATAAATAATGATGTGAAATGGCACATACTTTGTGCCAGGTGACTACTGTAGACAGTAGGTACTCTAAGAGTTAGAAGACTGGAGTGGTCACCACTAACTGAGATAGTTGCGGAGAGACCTCACAGAGAAAGTGAAGCTTGAGCTGGGTGGGCTTAAATGATATGGGGAGAAAGAGGGAGGCATTCCAAGCAGGAGAAGCGCCACAGACAGTAGCCTGGAGGAGGAGGAGGAGGAGGAGGAGGCTGAGAAGGAAGAGATTCGAATGAAGATTCATGAAGAGACCAATTTGGCTTGGAGTCCAAGCAGAATTCATATTGGGAGGTTAATAGGAGACGGATTTAGAGAGCTAGGGGTTGGGGTCACATTTTGAAGGGCTTTGAATGCTAGTCTGGGAATTCAGAATTTACTGTCACCAAATGGCCATTGGAGCTTTTTCAGCAGGGCCACAGGAGGATAGGAGCAGAATGGCATTTGAGGAAGATCAACACAGAATGATATCTAAGATATATTGGAGAAGGGGGATTCTAGATGTTGGGAAATCAGGAAGGAGAATACCGTTGTTGTCGTGTAAGCAGAACGCAGTAACTGAATAGAAGGCCTAGACGAGGCTGATGGCCTTGGGAATAGAAAGGAAGGGACATCGTGAAGGAAAGACTGCTGTAACTTGGTTCCCTACTGACTGGTGTCAGAAAGAGGGGAGGGGTAGAGGGAGAAACAAGGGTAAATCCAACTTTTCACACCTGGAGACATCGATAGAAACAGGAGAAGGCAGGAAGGAGAGGTAATTGGAGGGAAAGATGATGAGTTTGGTTTTAGTTATGTTGAATTTGAAGTTATTGCCATATGTTCAGAAGGAGGTATCTAGCAGGTAGTTAGTAATTCAGGGCAGCAGCTCTAGAAACCAGGCCTGGGGACTAAAGATTGCTTCAGGGGAAAAACAGTATAGAAGGGAGCATGGGGGAGGAATGGGGATCAGAAGCTCTAAAGAAATAGCCAGGAGCCAGCAGACAGAAACTGGCTGGAAGATTAAACCAGGAGATCCATAGTATTGAGATGTGACACAGGATTGTGGGGTAAGCAGCTCATAGCAAGGGGAGATCAGAGAGGGTGATAGCCAAGGGAGTCTTTCTGAAAGATTAATATTAATGTTGTTGGGTTTGCTTTGTGTACTGCATGTCAGTGTACTCTTGAGATTTAGCTTTTGCTGGTCTTTTGACTGACTTTCCTGGCGGTGTGAATCACATTATACCTACTAGGCTTACCTGCCATCTTTATTCCTTACATTACTCCTAACTCCCCTATGTCACTTCCAGAGCTCAGGTGCTATAGTTCAACCCTAGAAAGGCTACTTTATAAGAAAAGAGACAGTAGAAAGCCCTGCTGTTCTATGAACCAGCTTCTTTCCTGCATACACTGCTCCACTGGGTTTTTGTTAATACTGAATGTTCTCTGTAAGCCTTGGAGACTGGGATCCAGCAGTTTCCCTGGTGGGCCCCCAAGTTGCTGGGCCCCAAATCTACCCCCATTTTCTTCAACCTGGGAAATCTTGGGGTCCCTCAAGATTTAGAGGCCATTGTGCTGACTATGAACTTGATGTTTCCAGCTGGGAAAAGCGTGTGGACCCCCGAGGAAGATATTACTATGTGGACCACAACACCAGGACCACTACCTGGCAGCGTCCAACAGCAGAGTACGTGAGGAACTATGAACAGTGGCAGTCTCAAAGGAATCAGCTGCAGGGGGCCATGCAGCAGTTCAGCCAAAGATTCCTCTACCAGGTAAGAGTCATGAGGGGCTTTCAGTAAGAGAAGGAAGCCTTTCAGGTGCCGACAGGGTATGGAACAGCGCATTCCCCTATGGTTGTCATTCTGGCTGATAGGCAGGGGTGGTTCGCGAAAGAGGCTTTCTCAAAAGAAGAGTTTTACTTTCTTGCCAATTCTGATCTCTCTCGTCTCTGTCTAAAGAAACTTTGTCTTTGGCCAGATTCACCCTATCTAAAACTGAATTCGTCATCTCTTTCCCCAGACTGATCCCCTTTCCAGTCTTCCCTATTTCTGTTAATGATTCTCCTCATCTTCTAGTCATCTGGATTTGAAATCTGGAAGTCAGTTTTTATTCATCCTTCTGTCTTCTAACTCCTACATCCCTGTATCCAAATAGTCATCAAATTCTGCAAAAAGATTTGTCTTCAAAATGTCTCACATCTGTCCTTTTATTCCTATTTCCACTTCTACCGTTTTAGTTCAGATCTTTATCACCACATTCCTCCAATCTTAACAAAGTTTCTTAATAGATCTCCTTGCTTCTAGCTCCCAGATCCCATAAAATCACAGAAACCTAGATTTGTAGGTAGATAAGGCACTTATTAAAAGCTTACTGTGTGCTAGGCACCATGCTAGGCCCTGTAGATACACATAAAGCAAGCAAGATAATCCCTACCCTCAAGGAGCTGATGCCACATAAAGGGGAAATGGAATATGGGAGGAAGGATGGTGGAGGAGGACAGGGAAAGCTATTAAGGTAGGGCCAAGGCAGTTGTCCTTGAGGAGGAAGAAAAGTCTGGAGAGTGAGCCTGACTGAGGCCCCTCCCACAGTAGTAGTTCCAGGCATAGCCTATCCTCAGTGATATCTCTATGCCACTTAATCCCTGCGTGTTGTCCTTGACAGTTTTCTGCGGAATATTCTCACAGAATCTTAGTTAGATGGGTCCTGGAGGTCATTTAGTCTGATCAGTACCTGAATAGGTAACTCCTCAATGGCATCCCCTTCAAGTGATCTCAAAGACCTCCTTAGTAAAAGGGGATCCACCTTTTCCAAGGCAGCACATTCCCCTTTTTTTCCACTTATTTTTAAAGCATTTTCTTTTTTATTGTAAACTTAATCGTCAAGAAATAGACATTTCAAGATAAAAAAGAACAGGGAAGAGGATTTTATGAAAAATCAAAATTCTCTTACATGTAGTTTTTTAAAGGAGCATATTAAATTTGATAAGGTAATAACAAAATTGTTGTCCCCCTCTGTACTTTTTTCTTCTGTGCCTTTAAAAAAATGTTTTATTGATGTCCCCTTTTGACATGTCTGTCTACTAACACCTTTCCTTCCCCTTTCACAAACATATATGGTCAATCATATTGGCCTTGTCTGAAAATGGCTGTCTTGTTCTGTACCTCTGTCCATCACCTCTTCCCAAGAGGGGAGGTATATTTCATTAGGCGTGTGATGTCAGGATTTCTGAGGTCCTCCAAAGTTGTAACTCCTCACATTATTAATTGTTGCAATCACATGTATTTTCCTCCTGCTTCTGTTCATTTCCATCTGCCTCATTTTATACATGTCCTTCCAAGCTTCTCTGAACCCATCGTATTCCTCATTTCTTATGAAATAGGCTGAGGATGGAATTGTTATTTCACTGACAGGAGACTGCGTTGTGAGGCTCAGAGAGATCGTGAGAGTCCCGAGAAATTAAGCAGTTTGTCCAGGGTCACACAGTCTGTGTACGTTAGAGACGGGACTTGACCATAGGTTTTCTTGTTTCTGAGGCCAGCTCTTTATCCAGTATGCCCCACTCACTTCTAACAGTGTAATCAAATTCCGTCACAGTGACATACTGCAGTGTGTTCAGCCGTTCCCTGATTGATGGGCATCCACTTTGTTTCCAGGTCTTAGCTACAACAAAATGTGCTGCTATAAATATTCTTCTGCATGGGAGTCTTTTCCTTCTGTCCTTGGGTTTCCTAAATAGTAGTACTGCAGACTCAAAGGGCATGGACAGTTTTGTGAGCTTGGGTATGGTTACAAATACTTTTCTAAAAATATTGAGATAGTTTGCAGCTATCCTCCCCCAGATTTTCCAACAATTACTATTTTTCTTTTTTGTCATCTTTGCCAATCTGATGTGCATGAGATGGAACCTGAATTTCACCGTGTGATTCTCTTGTTAATGATTTGGAGCATATTTTATGTGGCTTTTGATAAAATTGCATTTGTTCATTTGAGGACCGCTGGTTAGTATTATTCTCAGAACATATATGTTGGGGAATGGTTCTTGTCCTTACATATTTGAATCAATTCTTTTTATATTTTCCCAGTTGTTTCCCTTGTGATTCTAACTGCATTTATTTTGCTTATGCAAAACCTTTCAGATTGTGTAATTGAAATGTGCAGTTTTATTTTTTATGATCATCTCTATTCTTTGTTTAGGTAAGAATTCTCCCTCTAACAATAGTTATGAGAGAAATCTCCTTCCATAAAACTCTATGTTTTTTATATGACTTTTTATATTCAGGTCATGTATCTATTTGGAATTAATTATGGTTTATTAAGATACTGGCCTACATCTAGATTCTGCCACCCCTACTTTACCAGTTTCCTAGCAGTTTTTGTCAAGGAGTCTTTATCCCAGTAGGTGATCTCCTTCTACCCTGGAGCAGTTCTGATTGTTAAGAATTCTATTTTGCTGGAGGGGCCGTGAACTAGTCCAGCTATTCTGGATAGCAACGTAGCTATGCCCAAAAAGCTATTAAAGTATGAGTACCATTTGCCCCAGCAGTGCCACTACTAGGTCTGTCCCTCAAAAAGATCAGAGAAAGAGGGAAAGGGCCTATATATATATACAAAAATATTTATAGCAGTTCTTTTTGTGGTGGCAAAGAATTGGCAACTGAGGGAATGCCCATCAGATGGGGAATGGCTGAACAAGTTGTGGTATATGAACATGATGGCAGACTGTTACGCTACAAGAAATGATGAGGGGGTGGTGTCAGAGAAATCTGGAAGACTTGTATGAGCTGATGCAGAGTGAAGCAAGCAGAGCCAGAACAATTCATACAGTAACAAAAATACTGTGAAGACAAACAGCTTTGAAAGACTTAGGAACACTGGTCAACACAATGACCAACCACAGTCCCAAAGGACTCATGACAAAAAACATTATCCACCTCCAGCTGGAATACTGATGGATTCTAAGTACAGTGAAGTGCATTTTCTTCCTTCCTTCCTTCCCTCCCTTCCTCTCTCTTTTTGGATGTGGCTGATGTGGGGATTTGTTTTGCATAACTCTGTTGTTTGTAATGGGGTTTTTCTTGCCGTTTCAATGTGTGGGTGAACGGGAAGGTAGATTAAGGGAGCATTAAGTCCTATGCAAAGCAAATTCTAAGGATTCTAAGGATGTATAAAATTCTAAGGATATACAAAAATATTTATAGCTTTTTTTTTTTCAGTAGCAAAGAATGGGAATCTGAGGGAGTACCCGTAAATTGGGGAGTGGCTGAACAAGTTATGGTATATACAGCACAGTAGAGTGGGATTCTTATCAGTGTAATGACCCATCATAATTCCAGAGGACTGGAACCTGAAACATGCTGCCCACTTCCCAGTTGAGAAGTGAAAGACTCACAATGCAGAATGAGACAGATTTTTATTTGGTCATCATGAGTGTGGAAATTTGTTTCAATTGTTTGTTTATGTGTGTAGTAGGTTTTGTTTTTCTTGTGTTCTCAGTAGTAGGGAGTGAGAGTTGAGGGGGAAAGGTAAGAAAGAGGATCTTGACTGGTTAAAAGAGAAAAAAAATAGATACACACACATATATATGTATTTGGATATGCATATGGTGTATGCATAT